AAAGACCCTGATGCTGGGAAAGATTGAGGGCAGGAGGAGAAGGGGATGACAGAGGATGAGATGGCTGGATGGCATCACACTCAACATGGGTTTGGGTGGACTCCAGGAGTTAGTGATGGACAGGAAGGCCTGGTGTGCTGCGGTTCATGGGGTCACAAAGAGTAGGACGCGACTGAGTAACTGAACTGAACTGAACTGAAGGTTAAATTTAACAGAAATCTACTTAAATATTTTTAAATTCTGATTTGCATCTTTTTTCATGTTATAAAAGCCATTATATTTTTACAACTTAGTCTGGGAACTTGAAAAATGTATGTGTCTTCCCTGAACAGTTTGCTATATTTTCTAATGATATATCAACCCCAGATGTGCAAATTCTAAATCTTGACTATACGTTTTTAATCCTCTGTTTATAGGCTTGGAGCTCTGAACACTCATGTAGTTTGACTTAGATTCTTATCTCTGTGTTTCCTAAACACATGTGACCATCATTATATTTTTTATACTAGACTACATCATTAACTTAGTTGTCTGAATTTTTTAGTAAAATAAAAGAAGGGAGATAGGAACACATAGTCTTTCATTGACTCAAACATATACATTTATTCAAATATTTACATTCACTTAAAATACATATTTACTTTATGTGTATGTACAAATATATATATTTGAATGCTCCTCTCTACCAGACATTGTTCTATTCACTGATGATTTAGTGGCAAATAAAAAGCAAGTCCTTCCCCAGAAGTTATATTTTAGCTTGCATGCCTAACTTAATTTTACACTTAAAACATTGTCTGACAAATTGCATATGTTTAATGAGTATTTAAAATGTATTAACAAATAAATAAAATGTGGAAACTGCATAATTAAACATGATAATCTTTGAAGTTACTTAAATGTACACATTTTAGACCAATTCAAGTATTTAGAACAAACACATATCTTTAATTATTTAAAATATATCTACCAATTCTAATCAGAATCACTTTGAATTCTGTATCATAAATGAAATTAAACCTCAAGTGATTAGTTTTCAATGTTTTCATATCTGTTTCTCAAATTACCTGATCATTTCATCCACTCTTGAGAGAGAAGGAGAATTGGAGGGAGGAAAGGAGAAAAGATAAAAGAGAGATCAAATTTGGAATGAACTTTTCTAGAAATATTAAAGATAACTTTAAGTCTTTGCAATAAATTTGCTGTGTTATTTTTAAAGAAAATGACCAATGCATGTTTCAGTTCACCTGACTCCTACTAAATCATTGGCTCAATGAAAACAAGTACAGCAGAAAGTAGAATGCTGTAGTTGCTCTTAGTACATCCCTGTAGAAACTAGCAGGCATCAGATTTATCACTGTCACAACTTCTTTAGAGTTTCCAGGAGAACACCAGGATCAAAGCAGAGAAGTAGATAAGATAAAGAGTAACAATATCTTTGCAATAGGAGTTTCCCATTTAAGTTTTACTTATTACTATCATTTTAGAGCAAGTTGAAAGTATGCTGACTAGGAATCTTTACCTGACACTAATGGAAACTCTTCTGACAGATATTTTGTTGAAAAATTACATGATGTGAGTAAAAAAATAAAAATAAAAGAACTGTCGGGTTGGATCAGATATTCTTTATCTGCAGGTACCTACTTGGCTCACATAATCTTCCCAAAAAGAGTTGGAAAGACTCAATATGCTGGAAGATTTTCTGCCTTATCAGAGAAGAGGCATATTTTCATTCTGTCAAACAAGTGTATTTTAATCATACTTTAAAAGATATTAATTATGTTTAAACAACATAGTTTAAACAAAGTATTAGAGTAAATGTTTTCAACCAACATGATGGATCCATTGTAGTCAATTTGATAAAGAGATAAATGAAGTACTAAAACTTCCATTGTATAAATAAGAAAATTTAATTATAGTATCCATAGTTGGGGGTTGTTTTTTTCTTTGGTTGCTTATTTTGTTTTACAATATTTTGATTTGAGCAATGTATTGTTATTATCTAGAAAATTGTGTTCGTGACATAGATTTCACCATTTTTTTTACCAGTTCAAACTTATATTTTGCCTCTCCACATCTAAGTCATTCCTCCGTCACTCTTAACTCTGACTTTATTGCCTTTTCTGGGCAATGAGTGTACAATATTGCCTCCGGACCTTGCTATTTATTTCTTCTTTGATTGTAAATACTCTTTCCCAAGATAGGCACATGGTTTCTTCCTTCAGACGTAAGCTAAAACATCACCAACTCAGAGAGGACTTCCCTGACCATCTGAAGCAAATTAATACCCACCTACCCTCTATGTTCTTGCTTTATAACACATAATATTGCCTGACATTGTATTATAAGTTCATATGTTATTTTTTTATTATTTGTATAAGGCAAGGTACTTTAATTATTTATCACTACTGTCTAAAATAGTAACTGACATATAGTAAATGGGCTTCCCAAGTGGTGCAGTAGTAAAGAATCTGCCTGCCAATGCAGGGGATCAAGAGATGTGGGTTCGATCCCTGAGTCAGAAAGATCCCCTGCTGTAGGAAATGGCAACCCGCCCCAGGATTCTTGCATGAAAAATTCCATGGACAGAGGAGCCTGGCAGGCTACAGTCTATGGGAGCACAAAATATCAGACATGACTGAGCATGCACATGAATGCATAGTAAATGTTCAATAAATGTTTATTGAATTAATAATATCTACAAGGGTTATGAACAAACAGTCCAGTTATGGTTTATGTCTGTAGTATATGTGGCTGCTCATGAAATTGTTAAAACATTCATAACATCAGGACAAGAGAAAATTCAAAACTAGAAAAAGCAAAAGCCTTTATATTTGGAACAAAACTTGTGGCTTCCTCTAGTAAAATTCTGAAATCAGAATGCTGAAATATTCTGACCCACCCTTCAGCAGGCCTTTAGTCTTCATATGCAGAAGGTTCAACCATATGGTAGGTATGGTCACCACAAGCAGGGCTCAAGAGATTGGCAGTGCCCTCAAAGTAAGCTGATCTCTAGACTGGCCATTGGGATTTCTTTTGCACAAATCAAAAGGAAACCTACATGTGGTTTATACATTCCTCACCTACAGGCCATTGCTGATAGAGGTCAAGAAAGAAAGACAGCCTCCATATTAGTCTAACAGTGTCCATCTGAAATCAAGAAAAATTGACACATCATTTGCTGGATCAGAGAGCACTATTATCAAGAGTCAAGTGGACACCCTAAAGCCTTGAACACTCCTGACAAGACCTTACAACAATTCTTCTGCCCTCATCTCTGTGGCCTATCTTGGGAAAATGAGGATTTGACTTATGCTTATTTTTTTCCTTTTATGTAGTGGTCAGAACTTCCACATCATTCCCGATTCTCAAGACTCTAATCCTCATCCTCAAATTCTGTTTGTGTTCTTTCTCTATGCTCTCTGTAACTCACCAGTCATGTCTCTTTATTTTCAACTGCTTGAAGCTTAGTTCTTCCCTTATAACCCTGCTTCTCATACCAGCTTCCGAGAGATGACTATATTCCTGTCATACCACTTAAATTTCTAGGATTGAGGTGGGGTATGTTCTGTTGCTTTTCACTGTTACTTCTAGAGCAGTCTCCTTCCTCCTTCCTAAATTCCCTACCTGTGATCTCATGACACTGCTAGATACCACCGGCTACTCCTCTTTACAGAAGTCTTCCACCAACCTCTGGTCACTTCCTCTCTTCTTTCAAGATTTTAGATTTACCTTACTGTCAGTCTTTCTAACTCCATTCTTGACATATAGTATGGTAATTTCAACATCCATAGCAATGTCTTCAAAAACTCTATTTGCTCAGTTACTTGACTCCTCTCCTGCAAAGATCTCATTTTCCACCATGAAATAATTTCATCATCTTGTGATGTATGTGAACTGGAAATATTTAATATGGTATTGATGCTTGAGTTTTGATGTCTGTATATATCTTTAGGTTAATAAGTTTTCTGTTTTCTATCTATACACCTAATATAAATTCTTTGCTTACATCAACTTTTTAAGTTATCTCTAATCTTATCACCTTGGTAAAGCATCCAAATAAGCATGTAGGATAATATATTCTGTATTTCTCAATAATATATTAATATAGAAATAAATCTATATTTCTCAAAAATGTATAGTAAAAGAAACAGGATTAGAAATAACTGTGGAAGAAATGCTACTTCTGTATTACTATAGTTTTTATTAACAAATAATAGTTAATAAGACATACCAGGCTAATGAATATTTATAAACACTCTGTTGCTTTGACAAAATGAGACTCTGTATAATTCAGTTTAGGGCCAGGTCTGAATTGTCTTTATTTTCTTTTCTACATCTTTGTTTTATTTATTCAAATATGAAATAGTGTGTGATTAATGTTGTAAAGCATCTATTCTAGTAAAGTAAAACTATTCAAAGTATATTTTAAATTTCATTCTTAAAATATTCAGTTATTTAAAAATTTTATTTACTTTATATATATATAGTACATTTTCTTTGTTCAGGGGGAAAAAAAAGCTTTTGTTAAAATGTAATCCAGTTACTTGCTGGCAGAGCCGTGAAATTACTTCTTAGCTATGTTGTCAGTTTGAGCCTTTCATCATCAATTGTGAAAAAAGTTAATGACATCATAGCATTATGAACAAATCAATAGAGTGTGTTAGAGTTTCAACTAATTCTCAAATAAATCAGCTATTCTTTAGCAGAGTCAGAGACTAAATAATGAATTATTTCAAAGTACCTCAAATCCAATTATAATTACAAATTGTAATTTGTTTAGAGGAACCAGAGTGAAATGGCTGTCAGATTCAGTGTCTGCCTCTCATAATACCTTTTTCCTTCTTAAATACATTTTGCAATGCAAGGAATTAAGACTGCTTGAAGAAATTTATACTGACTTTTAAGCACCTATTAATTAATAGCTAATTATTTGATTTAAATTGGACACTAAGAATGAGCTTATTTATTTTTATAGGATACTTAATGTCTCCAGATACTTAAAACAGTTGGATTGAACAAATGTACCTCAGGAATTAAGAATTCTTCCTGGAAAGAGGTAAGAAAATATGTATGCTTGTATGTTAATAAGTTTTGGTGAAAATTTTAGATTTACTAGTACATTTCTTTGGCATATAATTTAGAAGGTAATTTTTAAAAACTAAGGGCACTTTCTGTTTTCATGTATATAATTTCTATTCTGTGGAATGATTTGGTTATATGAGGGGGCTCCAACATGTCAGACAAAACAAAAAGAAAACCAGTTTTTAGGGAAGCCTGCCCTGACCTGCTTGCTCACTCAGTCGTGGCCCACCGCATGCACTGTAGCCCGCCAGGCCCCTCTCTCCATGGGATTTCCCAGGCAGGAATCCTGGAGTGGGCTGCCATTTCCTCCTCCGTTTAGGGAAGCACATCGCCGCTTTAAAATGTCAAGATCTGGATTGCTAAACTTTTACTTTTCTTTCTTTTATTTTTATTTTTAAATTGTTATACTTAGGATTAGACTGGGTTTGCCATGTTCCTCTGGAGCCACAGAGCAGAGATAGCTGGTATTATGGACAGACTGCCATCCAGAAAGATCCTTTGGCTAGCCTGGCCCTTTACATTTCCTCGACCACGTATGGTTACTTTCAACTAGAATCCATTCTCAGGTTTAAGAGCCAAACCGGAAGGAGGAGTCAACTTTTAATGTGTTATGCTATCTTAATTTTGACCTAAAATATGAGATTAAAATATTACCTTTAAAATAAATATGGTTAGGAAATCTGAATGTATTTTTATTGACTTTTTTTAACCCTCTTTAACTCTAATTGTTGCTCAAACTCATTTCATTGTATCAAGTAAGAAGAAAATTTATCAACATTAGGCTTATCATTCCCACTGTGTTACATATAATGCTATTAGTGGGAATGAACAAAGGAGTGAAAACATATACTTAAAGATCTATGAGTAGTAGTTTGAGATTAGTAGGAAAAAAATTGAATAATTTAAAAAATTATAATAATTACACAATAATTTATATTATATATTATATATAACTATATAATACTTTTAATAAATTAATAAAAATGTATTTGATTTTTTTCTTATAGTTCTTTGAGTAGAATAAAATGTGACTCATCAATTTTAGTTGGACTTTTAGTGAAACTAAAGATTTTCCAATTTTATTGGATCCCTCTGAATTTAACTAGTTGATTACTTCTACTTAATATGAACAACTGCTTTTTTCCAAATTTTTCATATTTAGTATCAAGAAAAATAAGATTCTTATGAAAAATATAATTGATATATGGAAGCTTCCCTTATACATGAAAAGCATTTACCATGTAAGGTAAAAATTCACTGACTTGACATATACATTGGAATTGTTAAAGTTAATATCAAGTCAGTATGTTTTTTTTTATACAGGACAAATCTCATATTTCTAGTATTGGCAGGGCAATAAACACTTTGCCAGTTCTCTAGCACATACATATACATACATACATGCATATCAGCATCTGTATACATATGTATGTATATATTCATTTGGGGCTAGGTTAATTCTTAGCCTTTCACAAAACTAATTTCCTGGATTATATTTTTCATTAGTGCATCATATACACAGACAGTAAACATTTGCTGTCTTTTTCAACAAACAAAAACACTGATTTTCCCATTGCAGGCATCTCATAAGGCGTAAAGGAGGCGTGGTTCACAAAGTGAATTTTCTGGGTCCTAATTGAAATCTGTTCCAAATTTATGAAGGTCAAAGTCATGCGTGGTGGTGGCTGTTTAGTCGCTAAGTCATGTCTTACTCTTGTGACCCCTTGGAGTGTAGCCTGCCTGGCTCCTCTGTCCATGGGATTCTCCAGGCAAGAATACTGGAATGGGTTGCCATTTCCCTCTCCAGGGGATCTTCCCGATCCATGAATCATACATAGACTTGATTTCAATGTCATTGCCATCATTGTCTTAAATGTATACTTGAAAGTCAAGTCGGTTTTCCAAATTTAATTTATAAAAACATCAGCAGCCCATGCAGAAGAGTCTTAAATCACTGAAAAAAATTAACAATGCACACATTGGATTGAAGTGAGAAAAGAACTGGTAGTCAATTCACGTAGGATTTATAAAAGTCAGAATAGTACATTCAGCTAACACCTGATCAAATTTACTTCCAAGTAGTAGATCTAACAGAAGTATTTGCAGAATTGAACTTAAGATTCTAGGCTTTGAGTGATACATATACAAACTGGAGTAGATAAATATCAGTTTATTTTAAAATGCTATCTGGCAGTTTCAAAGTGGGAACCCCAAGACCCGTTTTTTTATCAATGTCCATTTTAGTGACGGTGCTACTTTGTCCTTTATTTACTCCTTTTTTCTTTCTTTTTTAACAGAAGCAACCTGAAGGAGAATTTTTGCTTGTAAATGTATCAAAATATTTAATATAAATAATTATTTTAAAGAGTAGACAATCAAAATTTTGCTTGTCCTGCTAAATCTATTATTTAATGACTTATTTGCATAGGGAGTTCCAAGATCCATAACACTTTTTCCTCTCCTGAATCTGAGAACAGTTCTGCAAATATTGACTGTTTCCTAGACATGGCTTCATATAAGCTTGATGCTAAACAAATTCTATGTTGAATATATATGAATACTTTACTAGGAAACTCATGACATAAATTTTAAGCATTCATAAAAAAGTAGAAGACAATTAAAAGAGATTTTAGTTAGGAAAATGATGTACTGATTTTGGAAGAGAGGAATATGAGATAAAATTCAACATTAACTAAAAAAGTTAAACATGTGTGGGTAAGAAAGGATATACAATCAGAATGCTAAAAAAATTAAGAGTGGTATATACAATTCATTATTTCATTTGAAGTTCATTCTCTTATGACTGTTGAATAACTTTGGCCTGTTTTGTAAGTTAGAATGAAATTATATTGCAGGCTCATATAGCCTGGATTTTTAAGGTGTATTATTATGTGACCTTGAGAAAATCATTTTACTTTTATCAAATTTTTTCCTTTATGTATTGGGACTAATGATATTTTTTTAAATTTTGTTTGCTTATTTTTTTTACATATTTTGAAATACTTCATGACTTACTTTAAAACTTGAATTTTATAACATACAGTATAGAATTCCCTTTCTGTGACTACTTTATAAATTACTTTTTTACTTACCTTATCTTTCAAAAGAGTTTTACTCTTTTCATGGATGTTTAAGTATGTCATTTTTTTTACTCTAGATTATAATCTTTTTAAGGTGAAAAATATTCTTTATTCTATATATATATGTATATATATAAAAGTTGCTGGTGAATTGAGTTAAAACAGAACCATTTATAGCATTGAAATTCCTTAAAGGATGTCAGTATTTAATAAAGACTTAAAAAAGATTGATGAATCCTTTTGACTCAAAATAGTCACCTATTAATTTAGCTGTTATTTAATTTTGATTTTTGAATAAATTCTCTTCAGCTTTTAGCATATTAATGTTTTAATATTTAATAGCCACTTCTAAGATTTTTTCCAGGAGTTAGAATATCTTTTCCTTATCAGAGAATTCCAAAGACATTTTTTTTTTTTTCCCCCAGAAAGGGAGAAGTTGACCTAAGACATTAATGCTGAACTGAGTTCCTACTTAGCTATAGTTACAAGAACCTTGGTGACCTGGGCAACTAGGCAAGCACTTACCTTATCATCCTGACCACATATTAGTGTCCACAGGATCAGAAGGAATGCTTAGAGCATAGCTTTTCTCCTGAGACATTCCAATACATGCCTACCTTCCTCTGTATTGAAGAGTGGGATTTGAATGGCCATGAGTAGAAGAAGAATGTTTCCTACCTTTTAGAAAAACTTCATTGTCTGCAATGTTTGCACAGACTCTACTTCAAATTCAGACTGAGTTATTAGTTTTTCTGGGCTAATAATTCCTTCTTTTCCTAAACTGTGATTTTTTTCTTCTATCCTTGTTAATCTATGCTAAATGATTTTAGGTCCACAGAATTTCTGAGCCAGCAGGGATTTAAGAGATCATTTCATTGTTTACATAAGAAAACTAAGGCCAAGAAAAATGTAATATAAGTCACAGACAGTAAGAACCTAAATTCCAAACTTTCATTCTCCAGTTCTTTCCTTTGTATCATCATATCTTGCTTTCAAAATACTACTTTGCTGAATTTTCTTTCTCCTTCATTTTAGGAGTATCTGTTGCTAATTTCCATTATTTATCACTATTGTCTTCAACTATGCTTTATATCTGTGTAAGCAAAATAAAGAGATGACATTCTCATCTTTCACAGAGAAAAGTCTGTCAGTGGATAGAAATAATTGAACAGAAAAGGTTGGATAATAAGATAAGCACATATGTACTATGCTACCTCAAGGAACAAACCTTTTTGGTGACTGGCGTTTTATGGCTGGCTAAATATTTGTTTTACATACATATATATCTGTATACAGATATAGTGTGTGGGCTACTCACTCAGTCATGTCCGACTCTTTGGGACCCCATGTACTATAGTCCACCAGGCTCCTCTGTCCGTGGAATTCTCCAGGCAAGAATACTGCAGTGGGTTGTCTTTCCCTTCCTTCTCTAGGGGATCTTACTGACTCAGAAATCAAACCTGGGTTTCCTGCATTGCAGGCAGATTCTTTACCATTTGAGCTACCCAGGAAGCCCACATATATATATACACATACATGCATATAAATGTAAACAACTATAAATGTTGTATATACATATATATATATATATGTATATAGATGGCAAAATGTTGCATAGAACTTTGCCTTTGTTAAACTCTCTGATATGTGCACAACTTCTTTGGGTGAAGGCTTTCTATTTATTTTCCCTTAGTAACATTATTGAGGGGATAATTTAGGTAATCGAAATTGCTTCTTTGTAAGGTCCAATGCTATGAGTTTTGACAGTACTGTACATACATGAAACCACCCCTACAAGCAAGATTCAGAGCATTTCTTTCCCCTGATAAGATTCCTTGTGACTTTTCACTCTTTTTGTACTATGCATCAGTTTGCATTTTATGCAGATGAAATA